GCTTTTCTTCTATTTATTTGATGGCAGTGATCACGGTGGTTGAGGAAGTGCAGTTTTGATGCCATTGATTGTAATGGTGAACTAGACCCTCACGCGCTGTGGTGTGCTTGTGCCTTCTTCGAACCCGTGAAACATCATTCTAAGAGGCAACCGCTGAGATGCAAGATAATGGGGCATAGGAGAGAGAAAAGAAATGAGGCGAGAGAGCCTGTACAATTGAGAAAGCGGAGTCGGCCTCCGACGTCAGCTTTTGGACGGGATCTCGGGCGCTGAGTGCAGCCACGTGGGTATCTATCGTGATTTCTTAAGCTCCATCAAGGTTTTCAAGATATCAGCACAAGGCATAAGTATGCTATTTGCTCTGCTCTTGCTACTATTTTTGTTTTCATGTGCAACTGAGTCAGTCTGTTTAGACGTACGCACTTAACAATGCTCTCCACAAAGTCGGATGATGACCTCGATGCAGAGGCCAGGGAATTTGGGCGTTCGATTGACAGCTCCCTCAAACGAGAGTATGATGCCAGAGGTGACTGTAGCAACTAATTGTAGAACTAATTCAACTGCTATTGAAACCACTAAATTCAGCTCGAAGTGTTTTCACAAAGTCGCTGATGATGAAAGCGCAGATACTGACATCTGTTGAGTTACTTCTCATAAGCAGTCCCGTAGTGAAGAATTTGCTCAGTGGAACAATCGGGTCCGTACATTAGTTTGCTAAGCTGAAGCTAAGGTCGGTTTTTTCATGCTTATATTTGCAGATACCTCCACTACAAATTGGATGAGGACAAATTACTAGAGTTACTTGAGCTTGGACCAGGTTGCCACTACAGCTTGGAGAATAAGCTCAGGAAAAATGTAAGAACTTCAGATTGATTTTATAGATAAATACCATTGCTTTGGTTTTGAATAATGGCACTACTGAGCTAACCGTCCGTTTGGTCGATACAGAGGTGGGGGGGGGTCGTATTTGGCTCGATTGGGGGGGGCAAGCAAATGCAGCATGCAGCGGTTCTAATCATGACAGTTACCAATGTGATTTGTCTGAAGTGGTCTCAGTGCTGATTGAACAGCGGTAGTGCAATTGGTAGTGGGATAGACTCGGAAAGAGAGGTCGTGAAATCATTCCATTGCTGGATTGCAATATTTTCGACAATGTGGCTAAAAAAATTTCACATCCTTGGAAACTATTATCCGACCTTAGCTCTCAGTACCACATCGCGAGTTATAGATTGAAGATTACCCACTAAGTAAAAGAAATACGATTCAGCCTTCATTGCTTTCCGTGGTTATGAAGCAGAAACAAAATTAGGGGCGGAAAATATGAAAGGAAGGTGGCACTGTTGCGCGGCAGAACGTCCTAACAAGCCTTTTGATCTTTTACACATGCGTTTATGCGTGCAATAGATATTAATGAAAGTCGTCTGCTGCATTCTCGCTCCTTAGTTCCACGTTTATGGTCATTTAATAACCCTGTAGCGTAGTTTCGTGCACTAGCAAGTGTGAAAAGGGTCGGCCCAGAGGCCTTGCTCACTGTAGTCCCCACTCTGAAAGAGGGAAGAAGCATCATTATCGACTCTCGTTATTGACTAATGGGCTTCCTGAGTCCGGCTTCTCTTCCAGCAGGCGTCTGTATTCAAAATTCTAAACCGAGTTATAAACACCATTTTAA